GTATAGAATTTGGACTTTCGAACGAACTTGATTAATAGCCAATCAACAGCCGAAGCCTACAAAGAGAATAGACAATATCAAAACGTTTAAAAAGAATTTGTCTCAGATTCAAGATAATAAAAGCTCCGAATTATTCACCAGGTATTGAAATAGTAATATAATAAAGGCGCTTTTCAAGGGGATTCGATGGGAGTAGGTTTCTGGTTTATAACAATTCAAAGTCATGGGAAATAGATTCTACTTTAAAAACGAGCTATTTCATATTGGCGAATAACGATTGAGGAACTAGTGTTTTGTGGTTCATTACCACCTGTCGCCTGTATGAGAAAACTCGTCATACAGGTACAAAGACAGCTTGTTAGATGTTAGAATGTGTGTCAAAAAGACTTTAAAGTGCTATAAACCACTTGGGCTGATATGGAAAACACTTCTGGCATATTCCCGATAAAAACGGCTTTGTTATATCACTAATTCCATATCTGGTGAATAACTAGTTCGTGATTCGTTATATGCGAATAACGAACCACATACTAATTTGTAGTTCGTTTATAGCGAATAACGAACCACGAACTACGAATCATAAGCTAATTTCACGCCACTGATTGTCAAGAAATTGGTAATTTTATTTCATTTATACATTTTGCTTACAAACATGAATGAGAACGTTTCTCTGGATTTTTCCAGTCTTGTTTTCATTGATTACTGGTGCAAGACCCGGGTATTCGTCAGCGTGCACGTAACAGAAGCCTTGACAGTTGGATTTAGATGATTTCCCCAATTTGGTGAATGAGAAAGAAAATCAGTAGACTCGGTGTTTGGCAGGCGAATCTACTGTATGTAACGTCCAGGCCTATGGCCGGTTTCACGAAATGTTAATTAAGATGAAATTTTAGTAATTTGATTGGATAATATTGGATTGATTTTAGTGCTTAGCCAATTAAAATTGAAGTATCTACTAAACTTTGGATTTTATCTTTAGTTAAAATTTCCTGAAACAGGGACCTGGTACCGAAAATTACAACAATTTTTGAAGAAAGAAAATTGACATTTATTTTCACACTCAAAACATTCAAACACGAAATACAATACACATAGACTACACTACCTAATACTAGAACAACCAGTCTCAGATGTCTTAACTGCTCAAAAAAAGAGATAGAGAAATGTAGTTTAACGTCCACTCAACACAAACTAGGTCATTCCGGGAATAACACATGGTTCAATTTTATATCAATAATTTGCTTGCGCGTAGGGGTCTTTAGCTGTTGGAGGAAACCGGAGGACTCGGAGAAAACCCACGAGGTTGGACAGGCGACCCTACTCCTTATAACGTACAACCGGGGAATCGAAACCCCGCCAGTTGACTCAATGACAGACCGTATGATACAGCGCGCGCGTGGTAACTATTCGCCCCCCACCTGCTCAAATAAACATAGATAAATTAACAAGTACCTTAAACAAGGTACGCCCAGTCTTAGATATCGGAAAGAAGTTGTATTGATTGATTTTTAAAGAGTACGTATACCCTCTCGGCTACTTATAGGGACTTTACTAAATAATGAATAATTAAAATCTACACGCACGCAAATTATTGAATTAAATGGAACAATATGTTAGTCTCGAAATGAACTAGTTTGTGTCGAGTGGACGGTAAGTTTAACCTCATCTCTCTATATGGTGTTTACACTCATAGCTGAACAGATAAAACGTCTATTATATTGTGGACTGAGTCACATTCAACATGAATATGAATACAATTACCAGCGTATTGTCGCTTTAATACTGACTTATTTCATGTCAAAATACATGTAAACATGTTAATCCAATATCTTACCTTAATCCATGATATACATAAATATCTTACCATAATCCATTATATAAATTAATATCCCAACACCAATACAAATGGAGAAAAAGATTGTAGTCACGATAAATATTGGTATTTATTATCAAAATAACCCCCGATTTCACCGTAGTCGTGATATAACACAGTCCATTAACTCGCTATTTAACTTCCTGTTTAAACTTTACAATCTAATACTTGCTATTATTACCACGTGACTTGACTATACGTATATCATATTAAAGAAATATTCAGCCATCTCCATTACATACAGTCGAACTCGAATTGTTTTTTGTTAATTGTCACACGTCAGTGCTAAAGTGATTCAGTGACTTTAATTCTTTTTTTACCGATTTCCGCAAATGTAATCTTTGATTTTAAATAGAAATTTAAAACTTAACACGTGACCCAATGAGCCACCGAACCGCGTTATTAATGGAAATGAACAAAAACATATGAATGATAATGTGAACATTTGTAAACCCCTATTCCACCCTGTCTGTATGTTCGTAGGGCATGAAAACATGGAATTGAAACATATTTCTTCAGTGACGATTTGAAAGTTGGTACGAATGGAAACTGTAAATAATGAGAAGCTGCCAGATATGAAAATGATCTTGCGCCAAATGTTTTAAATTGTAAGATGGTAATTGTAGCTGAAGATTATTTCTTAATCGTCGGTTCCCAGAGGGTTAAAGTTCTGGAACAAGTTCTTGGAGATATTGCCTGATATGTTAAACACAATAATTTAATACGAAGCTCATCACAAGAGGAGAAAACAGGCGATATGTGGTCACAAACTTTAGTTCGTGAAACAATCGACGTGAAAGAATAAGACAACGTAGCATAGATACCAGAGTGTCTGTAGCATCTACTGTTATAAAATGACGCACATAACCAATGTTCCTAATGTGATAATAATAATAATAGGTGAATATCAGGATAAAAGAATAATTTTATTTGAATCATATATCGTGATTATCTATGAATTACTCGGAGAATTGTATTGTCAATATATCAACAATGTGTTAACATTCGTTCACTTCGTTCTGTTTCGTTTAAATATGAAATAGAATATTTGATGTAATGAAAACATACTTGACTTAATAAGATAACACGCCACTCGCGTTCGATTTGCTTCACTTACGTTTTAACAATGTGTAACAACTGACATGTGTTTACATTGTAGGTTTCATGAGAGAGAGAGAGAGAGAGAGAAATGGGGTTTAACGTCCACTCGACACAAACTAGGTCATTTCGGGACTAACATATGGTTTTTAATTTTATTTCAATAATTCGCTTGTGGGTAGGGGTCTTTAGCAGTGGGAGGAAACCGGAGGACCCGGAGAAAACCCACGAGATTGGACAGGCGACCCTAGTGTACTGTGTAACGTCCAATACATAATACATATTATAGGTTCATTCAATAAAACAGATTATTTACAAATCATGGAGTAATAAAAGGGATTAAAACATAAAAGCGTTCTTGTATAAAAAAAGCCACTTTTAAAAACCCGGTGTTAAATTTCGCTCTGGACGCCGTCATTGTTTTTATGAGTCATGACATATCAAGAAGACAATCTTTATGGCTGCAAATAATAAAGATGCTGTTTAATCACCACACGTGTAGGTTATGATTTGCGATACCACATATATGCTGTTTAATCAATTATAAAAATATGATGTTTAATCACTACAGGCACGTGTTATATGATATGTTTATACCAGAGATATGACGTTTAACAACCACTACATGTCATGTATGATATGTTATACCAGAGATATGATGTTTAATATACACTACATGTTATGTTATGTTATACCAGAGACATGTTATACATAATTAATAAAAAATATTACAATGTATAACATAACTATACAAAATATTACAATTTATAACAGAAATAATACAAAATATTACAATTTATAACAGAAATAATACAAAATATTACAATTTATAACAGAAATAATACAAAATGTAACAATGTATAATATAATCTTTAAATGGCATTAAATAATTAGATAGAGTAAAAACAAAAACACATATTTATGGAAAACAGCTACAAGTGTATTTGCCTCATATATATATTGCTGTATCAGCTGTATCGTCTTAAATACACCAGTAGCTGTTTCCATAAGTATATGTTCTATTTGTATAACAGGATCAATATCATAACGTCGTATTAAATACACTAGTAGCTGTTTGCCATAAGTATGTGTTTTTATTTTTTATGTATAATAAATATAAACAATTAATGTTATAGTGTATGACAAAGTTATACAAATGGTATAATACTATCAATCTATAAACAGAGTCTCAAATGTTGATACAAAAATAAAGTCGTCTAAAAATAGAATACTGGACATCCCCGTATGAAGCATCCAATGATAAGTGGTATTTCCAAACTATGGAAGACCATACAGGTTTCTATTCAATGTTCTTCATTTTTAGTTTTTAATTCGCAGTTCTTAATTCTAAACACTTCATTTGTTGTCGTATTTCGACATTTCTACACTCAAATCAAAAGTTGTATATCAAATTTGTAAATTGTATTTTTGTTTAATTTAATTGTATTTTAATATAAAGTCCAGGTTTATGTTAGAAAATAAAAAAAAATAGCCTTCATTTAGATTTCATCATAGACAAACAACGAAAAACAAATCTCCAAATACCAATCTTGCAAAACTTTTTTCCCAAAACATTTCTCCAAATTCATCGAACCGCAACATTATGACGACAGAGGACGATAGTGCGAGCCGAAATCAACCTGGCATACAATATTAAGTCACCATATAATAATGGTGAATCGAGCAAGCATAGACTCGATGACCGTGACTGTAGTGAAATCATGTGCGTGGTATGGGCATCTATAGAGTTATGTTTCTATATGTGTAACTGTATGGGTAAATCTGATATAGCATTAAACAGAATGAATTGAACGTAGTCTACTTTTAGTATTGGGTTAAAGATACAAATGTTTAATTTAGTCTACAAATGTTAAATTTCGTCTACAAATGTCGACATACGACAACAAATGAAGAAATAATAATTAACGATTTTCAATTAAGAATTAAGAATTTAAAAAAAAACTGAATAAATAACTTCCATGCCAAACCGCATTAACCAATAACAGAATTAGCATAAATTTACCTCTACAAACGACGCAATCGACACTTAATATACAAGATAACATCATAATTGATGACTGTAAGTATATTATGCAGCATAAGACCATTGTGACACATAACTTTGAATAATTTGTAATTATTTATTAGGTCGGGTAATAATAGTCTCCGAATATAGTTGCTACGAGGATATGTCAACCCTCAAATATCGGGGTTTTTTTTACTTTAATAAATCCACTAAATTGTATAATGTCAGGTTAAATGTACTGGAAGACAAGTGTTGTGCGAGTAACCTTGTATTGGTCCTTGTTAGTGTTTAAGTTGTCTAAATTTATAACCTTTAGTGCACGCGCAGGGGTCTTTCCTGTAGAAGGAAACCGAAGTACCCAAAGTAAACCAACGAGGTTGAGAAGGCGTCCCTATCTCGAAACCACATACGCTCAGAGATCGAAACCACGACCGCAAACCAGAGCTCGTAGTAGCAACCGTATCCACGGTCTATAATCATGTTCAATAGATATGCTAATTTATTATTTAACAAGTATAAGTAAAACAATAATTTACTGTTCTTGTTCTACATACTATAAATAGTGTTTAGTACCCAGGGATTTATTTATAGTATATTAATTATGTTTAGTACCCAGTGATATATTTATATAATATTAATTATGTTTAGTACCCAGTGATATATTTATATTAATTATTTTTATTACCCAGTGATTTATTTATATTAATTATGTTTAGTACCCAGTGATATATTTATATTAATTATGTTTAGCCAATGAATAATCCCCTTCTTGTTTATCAACGGTATGATCACCTTCAATATGGTTGTATGTACCATCAGCCACGACTGGATGTCCATGACTATCACCAATATGGTTGTATGTCCCATCAGTCATGACTGGATGTCTATGGCTATCCCCAATATGGTTGTATGTACCATCAGCCACGATCGGGTGTCCATTACTATCACTAATGTGGTTGTATGTACCATCAGCCACAACTGGATGTCCATGACTCCCCCCTATATGGTTGTAAGTACCATCAGCAACAACTGGGTGTCCATGATTACCACCAATATGATTGTAAGTAACGTCCGTTATCCTTTGACGTCCGAGATTACCACCAATATGATGGTAGCCACCACTATCCAGTCCAGTTTTATTATGTTCACCAATATGGTTATAGGCATCATCAGTAACGGTGTTTGATTGGTTCCCTCCAATATGGTGGTAGTTATCCTCGGCAGCTGTCTGTCCAATATAATTATAATGATCACGTGAAGGGCACGTGGTATTGTCCAACTTGATATCTGAATAATGAGGGGTTATGTTTCTAGGTAAAGCCGAATCAGTTTGATGTCGTTGATTTGGAACATTTCTACTAACATGGGCAGCTTTAGTCGGTGACTTATCTGTTTGGTCTCTCCTAGAATAAGAATGAATATATATAAATTGTCATGTCTATCTGGTAGACTGATAATGGTTGGGGAATTCTCACTATAAATATGATCTAATAGGATTTTAAATGAGTACAAGTCTTCATGATCGAGCGGTGCAGATCAATATTAAATTACAAGGAATATAAAAACAGATCCTTTATATGTATATTCACCATTGATTGTATTCCATATAGATTGTCTATATGTTTTAAAACGCGCACTAGCCAATTGAAGTGGGGGCTTAACGCTTCTTCATAAGATTCGAGCACATTTTATAGTGGTATTAAGTTTTGTAAATTCAACACAACAAACCTACCTCTTATAAAAGAATATGACAGCACCGACTATAGCAATAACTAATATAACACCAACTATTCCACCAACTATACCTCCAACATCTGTATCTAAATATAATATTATACAATACATAATATAACACCAACAATACCACCTACATGTGTATCTAAATATACTAATATACAATATACATAATATAACTAATATAACACCAACAATACCTCCTACATCTGTATCTAAATATGATAATATACAATACATATATAACTAATATACCACTAACAATACCACCTACATCTGTATTTAAATATAATAATATACAATATACATATAATATAATATTAGCTATATATATATTGTATATTTATATATTTAGATACAGATGTTGAGGTATAGTCGGTGTTATATTAGTATCACCGACATATGTATCTAAATATACTAATTTACAATATATACTATTCCAAAAAAGTAGGGGATATTTGATTTTGGGGGCATAATACTAAAATATGCAAATGACTACGAAAAAGGTCACTATAGAACCTAACAGAAGAAACATTTCCAGTTACATGTGACGCCCAAACGCACCAATAGCTACCGCATGGAATGCAGGTGATGCTTGGGATCATCATGGGGGTCCAACCCAAGATTTGCACGACTCTGACTTTGAATGTTACAGTCATTGTGGCATTGAATTCCAGGGTGGAAACATCAGTTTAATTGTTTTAGTGACCAGAAAACAAATTTTGATATGCCTCGGCTTACCCAAAATGAAAGGTTACGTGCCCTTGGCATGCTACAGATCGGCACAACACAGGCGGTTGTGGCGCGGACGATGAATGTTTCTCAGTCTGTCATAAGCAGGCTATGGTCCAGATACCGTGATACACAATCTGTACAGGACAGACCACTCTCAGGTCGACCAAGGGCGACAACTCAAGCCCAGGATCGATTTATCCGTACCTTGGCCTTGAGAAATCGTGTCATCACAGCAAATCAGATCAGCGCTCGTCTTCAAACAGACACTGGTGTGAGAGTGAGTGGCCAGACGATTCGGAATCGACTGCATAGGGGTCACCTTCGCGCCCGACGTCCTCGCGTGATCCCTTGTTTGAGAGATCATCACATTCAGGCAAGACGTCGTTGGTGTAGGGATCGTCAACACTGGGATAATCGACGCTGGAGCAATGTGATGTTTTCAGATGAGTCAAGGTTCACTGTTGATTTTTTGGACAGACGTAGGAGCGCTTCCAAGACGTTAACGTCATCAGACATGATCGATTTGGGGGTGGTTCTGTTATGGTGTGGGGAGGCATCACTGTTGCTGGAAGAACGGCTTTACATGTTGTTGCAGGGCGTGTTACAGGCCAGTACTACCGGGACAACATCTTGGCAGTCCATGTTGTGCCGTTCGCACGACGTCATGGCCGCCGTTTCATCTTCCAGGATGACAACGCAAGATGTCACAGGGCCAGGACCGTTACAGGTTACCTCCAACAACAGAACATCACCACATTACCTTGGCCAGCACTGAGTCCCGACCTCTCCCCCATCGAGCATGTCTGGGACATGCTTGGACAGAGGTTACGTCAACGTCAACAACGTCCTGCCAATGTCCAAGAACTTGCTGCTGCGTTGCAACAGGAATGGGACAATCTGGACCAAAATGACCTTAGACGTCTCATTAGGAGTATGCCACGTCGGATCAATGCTTGTTTGGCAAACAGAGGAGGATTTACCCGTTACTGACTTGGTTGTGATGCTGTGGTAACTTTGCTGTTTGACCCCGGGTATCATTTTACCCTTATAATGGTCAGTCTGTGCCTTACTTAGTCTAACGATCATTTGGAATAAATCGATGAATGTGAACTTCATTTCATTTTGTCATTTGTTTCTTCGTCAGTTTCATTAGGTGACTTTAATAACACTTAAAAATCAAATATCCCCTACTTTTTTTGAATAGTATATCTGTAGTTATATATAATAATCTGCAATATATAGTTTTATAGTTTTGATTAATCTTTATTTTTAGTTTACATTTTAAATATTGTTGCACAAATTTTGAATTATCCTTAGAAAAAAGCTCGTTTTTAACCTATTCCTATGATTTTATCTACAATAAAACATCGCTGAATTATAAATAATTCGTTTAATCAGTTCTATCAAATATTTAACTTATATGGACGCGGATTGTCATTTAACGTCTGTATTCAAGTATACAACTATTATTGTATACTTAGATTATTATATTATGTTTACATACAGGTAGAAATAGATTGTAAATATAAATAGGACAAAAATGGTTATAATTTCATTAGCAATGATATAAATATGATTTACATTCTGTTAAAAAAAAAATACTTGCGAAAATGAGAGAAATTACAAATATAGATCTTATATATTTAATTGTTTTTACATCATTTTATACTCACCCGTTTCGTTCAGACCGCGTTTTGTGGGATCTACAATAACAATACAAAGGGTTTTTTAAATATTTTTATCTTTAGAGCTGTTACAATGTTAATATAAATGATTTAATAATAACATGATCGTTTCTGTAAATCAAACTATTTGCGTTTAAAACTTATTTTTATACCGGCATTAAAACATTCGTATATTATTGGTAATGTCATTTCAGGATATTTTTGTTCTTATGCCAGCAGTCAAATTCCATTACTCTGCCGAAATGTTAACAGTATTCCGCTTGCCCGCCTAAATAACACATCAAATCAAAATAACAATCGACATTTTATGTTCACCTGAATTAAAGAGGTGTGTTAAGTTATACAATAATTACCTGTGGTTCTAGGTCCTGTTGCAGAAGTTGATGATTCTATAAATAAATAAAATGATCTCAAGTGAGGTTTGAATTCATTACATACACCAGAGTATCGACATTTTATGTTCGCCTGAACTAAAGAGGCGTATTAAGTTAAAACAAAAATTACCTGTAGTTGTACTTCCTGTTGTAGAAGATGATGATTCTACAAATAAAGTTAGATATGTCAAGTGAGGTTTTAATTCATTACATACACCACAGTATCCTTAATGTCTTAACAAATATATATAGCTAATACAACAGCCTTGTGACACTGAAATGGTGCTATTTAATATATAATTTATTTAATGTTGTTAGGCAGCTTTATGGTGGTTGTGGAAATTAAAACAACCAGGATTGAACACATTATAGGGGTGTATTAAGTTATAAAATAATTACCTGTCGTTGAACTTCCTTTTGTAGAAGTTGATGATTCTATAAATAAAGAACATGATGTGGTTTGAATTCATTACATGGACCAGAGTATCCATTATGTCTTAACAAATATATAACTAATACAACAACCCTGTAACATTGAAATGATGCTAATTAAAAAAAACGTATTTAATGTTGTCAGGCAACTTTATGGTTGTTGTGAAAATTAAAACAACCAGTATTGAACACATTAAAGGGGTGAATTAAGTTATAAAATAGTTACCTGAAGGTGTACTTCCTGTTGTAGAAGTTGATGATTCTAGAAATAAAGAAAATGATGTCAAGTGAGGTTTGAATTCATTTCATACACCACAGTATCTATAATTGCTCAACATTGAACACTGAAATGATGTTATTTTCGACAAATCAATGTCGATTATTATTAAACATTGGAATTTTGGCATTTACTACAAAAGTACAGCAAACGATTGATAGTGTTATTGTGACACCACAGGGTTACGTCGTGACTATCATTCCATTATTAGTTCCTCACTCAGATGATATAAAAAACAAAGCTTACAGATAAAGTAAGCATATCTTGCCCCTTGCAATAGCTACTGAAGCAATACGATTTCAGAAAGCTACAACTGGGTACAGGACAACCTTGAGACTAGTGAGTCAATCACCAACCCAATTGTTGATATAATATATCGATATATTAATCGATATATTAAACTACATATGGTATAAGTCATTCAATATGCGAATATCGAAAAGGGGGGTGTAACATAAGATCACAGGACCACCACGAACGTGTGTACGTAATATGAGGACTATTCCACCAACAATAGCTCCTACATCTGTATCTAAATATAATAAAATGACGGACATATTGTGATAACATAAAACAATGAGAGCAGTTAAAGCTAAAGTTGTTGTTAAAAATGCAATAGTCAAGTTGGTACATCTACCCGGTGGGGTTTTATTTTAAATGCCGGTACTAGGTTTCGGTGACGAAACTGCGATAATATTACGATACGTTAGAGACACTGAAATGGAATAATAATTGACACGTCAATGTGCTTGAACAAGAGCGGGCGTGCCATGAACTGGGAACCATAATCAAAGTCCGTCATTCCATTTAGTCAGTTGATACGTATGTATTTATATTCGCCAAATTCAATGACAATCATCTGAATACAAAAAATTAGTGCAAAACAGATCAATGTCACAGTGAATGGTGCGGAAAAATCGATTTGCGAGAAACACAAACGCATTGCCATGTAATTTGTTTAAATTTTATATTATTTTAATGGATTGTTTTTTTTAAAAGTATACATGTATGTTGTTTAGTTGTACCTATTTCTTTCACTGTCGTTTTTAAAATATTCTTTATCTTATATTAAGATATACATGGAAAAGATTCGTTTCGTGTAGTGTTCCAAATGATTTGCCAGATCAACCAATCCAGATTAGTCGGAAAGCTCTGTTACTTTGTTGAAAGACAAATTAATTTATAAAAATGTAAGTCATTATTGTAATAAAGTTTGCCCCCCCCCCCGACACCGCTCCTTTCCGAACTATAACAGGGTTAATAGAAGTAGATGATTCTAGAAATAAAGATAAATAATGTGAGGTTTTAATTCATTTCATACAACACAAGATCCATAATGTGTCAACAAATATATATAGCTAATATAGCCCTGTAACATTGAAATCATGCTATTTAAAATATAATATATTTAATGTTGTCAGGCAGATTTATGGTTGTTGTGGAAATTTTAACAACCAGGATTGAAGACGTTAGAGAGGTGAATTAAAGTATGAAGACATTAAAGATGTGTATTAAGTTATAAAAAAAATCACCTGCCGTTGTACTTCCTTTTGTAGAAGTTAATGAATCTATAAATAAAGAACATGATATGGTTTGAATTCATTACATGGACCACATACTGTCTGAACCATAATATATATAGCTAATACAACGGCCTTGTAACACTGAAATGGTGCTATTTAAATATAATTTATTTGGGGTTGTCAGAGGTAATTTTATGGTTGTTGTGGGATTTGAAACAACCAGGATTGAACACATTTTAAATATATATATATTATGTAATACTATAGGGCCTATATACTGTAGAGATTATTTAAGTTCTCTGAAAAGATGTTCTGGTTAATATATTGAAGTCGTAAGCTGGTACCAGTGACAACGAGAACTAGGCTAACAAGGATATGTCTGGTAGATTAACATCGGGCAATAACATCATCGTCTGGTAATGAAATATGGCAATCCCATGCGTTAGAAACGTGGACACCCGCCCTCCTGGGTGCCCATATAAGTACACTGTGTTGGAATTCAGGGTAGCTTCTGTGCAACTGACCAAACAGATAAAGGAGTACCTGGTCAACTTTCCCGGGGGTGAATACATGACTCATGCCCGTATCCTCTTTATAAAGAATGTACGGGGTTTAAGTTTCCTTGGGCATCATTTCGTATTACAAGAAGGACGTTCCCTCAGCCTTCTAGGCTGAGAGGTTGGGAAACACCACCGCAAATCACAAGCTCGGGGATAGAGAACTTATATTTAGCTTATATTTAATGGCATAGCTGTGTGTGTAGTTTCCTGTATATAACCTTTGTAGTATGGATGTTGTATTCGATATATAAACTTAGTTATAACGTAAAATGTGTTCCAGAGTTAATGTTTTAGCGGCTGCGATAAAGATATATACACAATGTTTAAATTGGAGTCCTGGAGTAAAGAATTACAAAAATAACCAGAGACAATACTAGACGAGCACAGGGCTATTATAATATGTAGCAATGAAGAGAGTATGGATCACACGTTGGATGTGGGGATATTTTGGGTAGTCTGTCTTTCTACATCTAACCAGCGACGCAGAGTATAGCATAGTATAGCGTAGCGATAAAGGCACAGTGTTACATATATGTATAAATAATTACCTGTCGTTGTACTTCCTATTGTATAAGTTGATGATTCTAGAAATAAAGAAAATGATGTCAAGTGAGGTTTGAATTCATTTCATACACCACAGTATCCATAATTGCTCAACACTGAATACTGAAATGATGTTATTTTCGACAAATCAATGTCGTTTGATATTAAGCATTGGAATTTTGGCATTTACTACAAAAGTGTTATTGTGACACTACAGGGTTACGTCGTGACTATCCTTCCATTATTATAGTTCCTCAGATGATATAAAAACAAAAATTGCCCCTTGCAATAGTTAACTGAAGCACTAGGACTTCAGAAGGTTACACATGGGTACAGGACAACCTTGAGACTAGCAGAGGCGGTCATTCACCAAATTGTTTACATAATATATCGATATATTAAACTGGATTTGATGATTATTATATTATTCAATATAATAATGTTGTAGAGGGAATTAAAACACAAGATCACATGACCATCACAAACATGTGTACATGAGAGAGAGAGAGAGAGAGAGAGAGAGAGAGAGGGGGGGGTAACTTCCACTCGACACCAACTAGGTCATTTCGGGACTAGCATATGGTTCAATTTTATTTCAATAATTTGCTTGCGCGTATGGGTCTGTAGCAGTGAGAGGAAACCGGAAGTTCCAGAGGAAACCCACGGAATTGAACAGGTGACCTAACTCCTTTTCAGGTACAATTGGGGAATCGAAACCACGCCAGTTGACTCAATGAATAGCGTTATGACACAGCGCTCACACGCTAACCATACGGCCACCCACCCCCACCTGTATACGTAATATGGGAACAATAGGACCAACATCTGTATCTCAATATAATAAAGTAAAATACAACCCTTACTTTACAGTTCGCAAGATCAGCTTGAAAAGTCGATTACCAGGTTCTTAACATCAGTTAGTTAAACATAGTGATGGGTATTCGCACACTCTCTAGAACATCTGATAACATTTCTAGCTTTCGATTGTTGTTTTCCATTATTGTGACATTATGGTAACCCATATTTTCAAATGTTTGATTAATTACTATTTGCCTCTTTATTTGGGAAACTGGCACACGCGAATTATTGAAATATAAAAGACGAACAATGTTAGTCCCGAAATGAACTAGTTTGTGTCAAGTGGACGTTAACCCCCCCCCCCCTCTCTCTCTCTCTCTCTCTCTCTCTCTCTCTCTCTCTTTGTGTTTGGAAGACGAGTTCATCAACCGATCGGTGATTGATCATGTGTCTTAGATATTTTGATAATCATTATGTACTTACCTGCTTGACTGATATCGCTACCTGAAATAAATTATAACAACATATCATTTCCATGTCATAAAACAGATGATATTTCTACCAGACCAGGAAAATATAATTAACAACAAGGCGTGTATACTATACACATAATAAATGGAATTACCGTTTTGTCAAACAAGCAGTGTTTTCAACATTGCTGATTGATCATGAACATATAACGGATTTAGTCAGGTTTATTTTGGTAGTTGGATATATGTTCTCATTTACAGATATGTACCTAAGAACGTGACTTATCGCTGAATTGTCTTTAAAATACTTGATGTGTAATACCCAGTATTTGCGGGGATTTTTAAACGAACACAAATAGCTGTTAGTCTAAAATGCCGGATTTATTGTGTTAACTTAAAACAATATATAAAT